CCCCGAGGAGCCACCGCCCACCACCACCACAACCACAGAAAAATATCGTAAGCAATTTTACTAAAGCCAGTCTGCTCTGGCCCCGATTTTTGAGTTAAGACCGTAAGGGCTTCAGCACATATTTCCAATCCCAGTCAGGATTAGGTGCGATGATTTGGGAACCTTTGAATAAATGTTTTCAAAGAAGAATAAGATGCAACCGCTGGAACATGGTATTTATTAGCTGGGCTTTTCGGCTTTTTGTTCGAACCCGTCATGAGCGACAGTCACAGACGCTATCCTACCTGTGAGAATCCGAAACACCAGGCCAATAACCGCCAAATTCCAGCGACCGGATCTTCCTTTTCTGAACTGCTTCCTGAAACTCGCCTGTTCGTTTTAATTAGCAACATATGTTATGACCTAATGTGAGGAATTCGGAAGTCTCTGTAAGATTCAAATCCACAACAGCAGAAGCGAGGCTTAGGTATGACTAGCGGTCTAATACCTGCTGTTTGAGGTCTCGAGCCATCTAGGCGAATACAGGAAATACAGCTTGGACAATTAGATTTCCACACTAGAATTGTTGGATTAAGTAACTATCAAGATGTTGGATGGATAACTTGACTCAGACCTGTCAGTCGGGGTCTCCTAGTTAAGGAGGTTAGAGCGCTGGCTGTACGCAAGCCTTGCCTTTGCAGTTATGCGTGCGAATCCCACCGAGGCCGCCGAGCTTTTCGCAGGTGTTTCTGATGGATACTCGTTTGAATCTTTTATTGGGGTTTCTTATATGCCTCCCCACTGGCAGAACATGAACCACCCGTGATACATGTGCCTTTGTGTTAAGTTCCCGCCCAATAAGGTTTGGATTAAAGGGTCGGGCTACGGTGAAGAGTTCGTTCACGGTTCGAGTTAAGCCTCAGGATTACGGCTAAGGTTCAAGATGGAGTCCGTTTTATGATAAGGACATAAGATAATTTATCTTCTTGAGATTTTCGCAAGAATGTGTTGTCTTTCCTGTTCTCAAGTCCTCTCATAAGAGGGGTTAGTGGAGCGGAAAATAAGCCATTTCGATCGAATAATCGAGCACAACCACTTTAAAGCTGTCCTTACGGGCTTCAAAGTGTTCCAAGCAGCATATTCCGCTGATCGGCGGCATTTTGTTTAGTGTCTCAGTATATCAATTAACAGTGCCACCAAACTCTTCATGGATAACTTTTCTGTCTAGGAGTCAAAGTGAAACCAAGTCGCACAAAACGGAGACCAAATTGAACATAAATACTTGCAAACATAATCACTGGTGGAAAGCCATGAAGTATTGTCATATTTGTCATTAGAGAGACAATCCGAAACCCAAATCTCAGCAAGCTATTACTTATATAGACATTTCTTAACGGGCAGGAAATGAACAAAAATAAACCCTAAGTTCTCTGCGACATTTCTGAGGCTCGGGTTAGGAGTTATACCTTTTCTTTGTAGCATTTTCAAGAATGTGAGCTTTAGCTCGACAATGTGACCTAGGCAGTCAGTATAACACTGCCAGCAGTGCTAGTGTATCTACGAAGAGCGTTGAAATGTGCAATTGAAAGTTCAGAATCTTTTCGCCTCTCTGAAAACAGACATTCTCAGGATAAATTTCGTTTTATTTCGGAAAGAAAAGCACATTCAACTTGTAATGGTAACGCAGACTACTGCTTTTTTGTTTCTGGAGCAAACACTAAAGAGGAACCTTTTCGGCATGTCGATGGGGGACGCAGTCATTAAAGGAACTCGAATTCCGGCATTTTGTAAAAGTTACTGTTCCAGACAATATAATTATAGGTCGTGCTGTGCAGGCAACAAACGAAAAAGCCAATCTTAAGCTATTTTATCATATCCACTACAAGAACGTTGAGTTTAGTTTGATACTGCACTCAGAGCAATGCTACAAATGGTGTTATCGTATCTACAAAGAACATTGAAATGGGCAAGTGAAACCTCAGAAGTTCTCCTTCTCTCTCTATCTGAAAACAAACATTCTCAGAATTAATTTTGCTTCATTTCGAAACTTTAATGGCCACGTAGACCACTGTTTTTATTTTTATTTTATGGCGCAAACATCAAGACTTAGCCAGTGCTGTAGCATGCTTTTCTGGCAAGTGGACTGGAATCTTTTTGGGGGGAGGGGGCGGTTCCCTAATTTCAAACCAACAGGATTAAGTGCCGCCGCCTCCTGGAACAGCAGAAATTAGGCGGAAAATCTCCTAGTTCACACAGTTTATTTTCAAGCACAATTGGTAACACCACAGCACGAAAAACCTAGGTATTAATTTCCATCTACCAAATCGTTGAGCAGTTTTCAGGAGGGAACTCTTGTGGTGTAGACTTTGTCATTTAATAAAAATAGGGGAAGGGGGTTCAAAGGGTAGTTTCTGACGGATTTACTATCCTCAATCTTTCCGAAAAACGATTTCACGTGTAAAGCTGGTCATGCAGCACTGGTACGTCGAATGTCTCACTCACCTAAGCTGCCGCTTACCTCTCTACCGCAGAGAACATTTACGGTCAGACCTGGGGAGCGTTGATTGGTTCCATCCTGGTTGCAGAACGGCATCTAGCGGGGCAATGTTTTGTATGCATACCAGTAGATACAGCACTGTAATTGGAACTTCTTCGGGGTAACCAGTAAGTTAACTAATCCGAGTCGGCAGGAACCGGAAATCGTAGGTAACTTACTAACCAAAAATGAAGCACTTCCTGAAACATGGCCTGCCAAGGGCTATAACGGGCTGTTAACCATTATTGTATACCATGTATATTATAATCACCGGCGTGCAGATTGGTTGTTCTAAAGGTCCAAGCCCGCTTTGCGAATTATGCTAAGGACTATTGACAAGTTCAGAGATTGTGCCCCAAAGCAGAATCTCGTAACCGGTCGGTGATCGTTCACACACCAAAGTTCATATTCCCGATTCACACTGGCAAAACAACGAGCCCGTAGATAAGTTTGATAGGACGCTAGACTGCTAAACCACAGGTGGCGAGTTCGAACATCGGGTGGGGCACCATTTGGGATTGGGTATGGCTGGCTGGTGCGCTTAATAAGCCAGAAGTGGCCATTCCAGTCTCCCTCATCTTTGTCGGTAATATTCTTCTGTTTATAATTCCAGTCCCCTGAGCGGCTGCTTGCGAATTTCCAGCGTTATTGGAAATTCTCCAGAGCTGACCAGTAAGTCATTAATTCCAGTTGGCAAGACCTGGAATATTAGGCTACTTACTAGCCAAAACAAAACCTGTAATACAACGAACTCGTGGCTCAATAGTTAGTGCGTCGGACTTCTCATCAACAGATCTCAGTTGTGGTACCACCTGGAGTTGGGTATAACTAGTTCATGACGGCTATTAAGCCAGAAATGGCCATTAAAGCCTTCCTTGTTCTTTCTGTACTTCTAAGCACTGAGCGACTGCTTACGGAATTCGAGAGTGAGTCCCTTAACTGATCGATGAGCGTCCATATACCAAAGTAAATTTTATACTGAAACATCGCTCAGCCCATATGCTTACAATTGCTTTTGCTGTCTGGAATATGGTTAGAGATTTGCCAAAGAATTTAGTAAGATACATTTTAGCCCAAACGAGTTACGTAACATTTTCTGCGTTTTGCTTCCAAAAGTTATTTTATCTTTTTAAACTAAATGACCTTCCGTTGCATAAAAAATCTCTGTAATGTCTCTATGGAGTATTTGGAAAGATATCCCAAAACTCAATATGTAAGAAGAGGAATTTGCGGAAATAATTTCAAATTAATTTGAAAGATGACACTAAAGATGTCCTTTTAAGTAGAGAATTCTTAAAAACACAATTGATTACAGTTTTTTGGTGTAGACCGCCTGCCCAGCAAACCTCTTCATCAAAGCACTCTTTTCTTTATATCATAGGTGAAGGACAAAGTACCGGACCGTCCGTTTCGCTCCCTAAACAGGCAGATGTAAGTTGAAAATAGTCTTTGAGGTAGTTTTCGTCCTGATTTATCCTAAATATCCACTCGTATTTTTGGAGTATTACCCTTTACGCCAATTTACCCGCCCCAATTCTACGCTACACACATATCTCAAACCACTATTAGATCAAAAAGGCAACAATGTCAGCCATTGAACGCTAAAGGCCGTTAATAACATGATCACCACCAATCCTACGTCTTTCGAAGCTTGCGATGGTCATTATTACGCGACAACGGCTTGGGCATCAAGGATATTTTGGAAACGGAACACGGTGCAACACTGACTTCCCTATCTTCTCGAACGGTGGCTTACGTAATTGTCGCAAGCCTGGTAGTTCTTTGTTAAAAACGCCTCGATGGAATCCGCAAAGAAGGGCTCAA